CCTTCCGGGTGGGTGTGTTCGCTGTGTGGTGTGGGCGGGGCGGTGGGAGGGGCGGGGATAGACCCCGGGGGTAGCTCTCCGGGCTCCGGCAGAAGGAGCGGCTCCCTCCGGTTTCTCTCCCCGTCCGACTGCACTCCTCCGCGGCTTCTCCGGCCTCCGCTGCCCGCTGCCCTCCGCCGGTTCCCCGCAGACCCGTGAGTGTCCCCCCGGGGTTGTGTGTCCGTGTTGTGTGGGGTTGTGTATCCGGGCTAAAAACCGGAGCCGTTTGTCCACCAACGGCTGGTGGAAACTTACAGATCTGGGCCTCCAACAAAGTGGGAAATATCCGGAAAAACCGCCTTTAAAACGGATCCAGAAGAGGATTTAAAATTTTACAGTCCGAAACTGCCGTTTAACCGGCTGGTTAAGGTGGAAATGTCAGGCAAAAGCAGCGAAAACGCCCTTAAAAAGTTGTTATTTCGTATTTTTATGATCGTTTTTATTCAGTTTAGTTCAGTTTTTGCTCAGAAAGCGAAAAAAACTACAAAAACTCTCATTTTATGGCACCTGAAAACACAAAAACAGTCCAGTTATAACCCAAATAATTATAATCCAGTCAAATATTGAGTTTATTTCATTTTATCACTTTAAACCCTTCAATACAGTAAAAAAACAACAACTCATATGTCCAATTTTCATGAACTAATCACTTGTTAAGCTTCAGAGACAGGTTATTTAAAGGATTTTTAATTATTACAGATGATGACAATGTCAAAAATTAGTGTGAAAAGTCCTTTTTATTGGCTTCCAGTGATTTTGTTTGATTAGCAGCATGTTTTTAATCAGTATTTAATAGTTTAAATAGTTTAATTTTTACATATTTATCCTAAAATAGTGGCTTGGTTGGCTTCACTTGTCCTGAATGAGCTTGAAAACAGAGTTTGGTTATTTTTGATTCACAGTTTTTTAAATTATTTAAGACATCAATAACCCCTTTGTCCCCTTTAGAAAACAGAGCTTCATTTATCTTAAACTCTGCACTGTCACTGTTCATTAAAACAAGCATTAAAATGATATAAAAGCTTTAAAAGAGGGTTTAAAATGTTTAATCTCTCAAATATGATTGTTTAGATTGTTATTTTAGTATAATAACCTGGTCCTGGTTCTGATTTTTGTCTAATAGATTAAGTAATTAAATTCAAATGCTAAATAAAACAATCATGACTCTGCTTTTTTTAATGTTCAGATTAAAAAAAAAACACTTAAGGATCGATTCTCCTGCTCTGGGAAGGGGAGCATCCATATTTAATGTTGAGTTTAATGGCTTTTATTTACATAATAACCACAAGAATCAGGTAAAAAAAGACTCCAGAATGAATGAATCCTCAGACTGAAAAGACAAAAAAACATCCCAATAACTTTAAAATTAAAATTTGAAATGACTTTTTAAATGTGAAAAATAACTAAAATGATCCACTTTAAGCTTTAATCAGTTTAATGTGTGTGTATCTTTTTTTTCTAGTTAAAATCCAAATTGTTTTAATGGTTTTTAATTCTCTCATCAGAAAAACGTCAAAATGTTTCTGGCAAAGAATCTAATCGGTGGCATCATCAACATCGTGAGGTGAGAATGAGGCTGTTTTACGGCCGTCAGCGAGTCTGTATCCGACTCCTCCCACATCCAAGTCGGCCATTTTGATTAGGTCATGTGACTAGCAGCTTTCTGAGGTGGAAACGAAACTTTACTGTCTATACGAAATTAGAAGATAAACGATGTCCTAACCGTAAACCTGACTTTAACCCTGACCCTGACCCTAAACCTAACCCTAAACCTAACCCTGACCCTAAACCTAACCCTAAACCTAAACCTGACCCTAAACCTAACCCTAACCCTAACCCTGACCCTTACCCTAACCCTGACCCTGACCCTAACCCTAACCCTAACCCTAACCCTGACCCTAAACCTGACCCTAAACCTGACCCTAAACCTAACCCTGACCCTAAACCTAACCCTAAACCTGACTCTGTCCCTAACCCTAACCATAAACCTAACCCTAAACCTCACACTGATCCTAGACCTAACCCTAACCATAAACCTAACCCTAAACCTAACCATGATCCTAAACCTAAACCTAACCCTAACCCTGTCCCGAACCCTGACCCTAAACCTAACCGTGACTCTAACCCTGACCCTAAACCTAACCCTGATCCTAGACCTAACCCTAACCCTGACCCTGAACCTAACCCTGACCCTAACCCTAACCCTAACCCTAACCCTAACTTAACCCTAACCCTTCATAATTGTGAGAAATAAATATTTTTTGGTTAAACTTGTTTGGACTTATTGTACAAACCTAATTAACATCCACTATTTTAACATAATATTATGGATAGAGTTTAATTCAGTGTTTGCAAGATTCATTTCACAATTTTTAAATTAATGTCTATATTGCCATGAAGCAATTACCATTTTCTCTCTTGGGATCTTCCTATTGGTGACCTAATCAAAATGGCCGATTTGGATGTGGGCGGAGTTTTTCGTGGCTAACTTAACCTCTCGTCTCTTTTTTTTCCCGTCAGCAACATCGACCCGGCTCAGTTCACCCCCTCAGATCCTGTAAGTACCAGAATAAATCAAATAAAGCAGGAAGAACTTATTCTACTGTCCATTTAGAGATAAACAGGTGATGTCACAAGCTCTGACCAATCAGGAATGAGCCAGTCCAGATTTCGGTTAAGTTAAAGATAGAAGTTCATTTAAGCTTATAGATTTTTTTGGAATTTGTCTTTAATTTAGGATTTTTCTTTGTTTTATGAAAAGAAGGAACTTTAAAGTTGTTAAAAAAGTGGATAAATACAATTACTCTACAATTATTTTGATTTAAAGTAAAACTGTTGGAGTTAGCTAATCAATTTATTTTCGCTAACAAAAATCCTACATAATTTACATATTCAGTGGTGTTTAAAGATACTTTAAGGACTCTTTTACAACAAATAAAACGATATCATAGTTTTATATTTAAATAAAACGCTTTCTGTTTCAAATTATTAGTTTTTTCAAATTAAAATGAAACTTTAAAGGAAGTTAAAAGGTTTAAAATTAATACAGATACAGGTTTTGGTGCTTTATCGATTCATTTAAGATAAGATAAGATAAGATAAGATTTATTGATCTCACAGTGGAGAAATTCACTAATTTTTTTGTATTTTCTGTAGTAAAATCAGAGCAAAACAGAACATTTGTGGAGTTTTTTACGTTTTTTGTGTCATTTTATCCCTGTTTCTGAGCTGGAATCCACACTTCCAGTGGAAGATTTCCTATGCAAACGAACCCAGAGTGGTAAATCTGGGAATGCGCCGCCTCACAGAAGCTCCCTTTGTGAGTCTGTTTGTGTGTGTGTTTGTGTGCGTTTTTGTGCAGCCGCCTCCCCGCAGACCTCTAAACTTCGCCGAGGCCCACGAGAACGATGAGGAGAAGAAGTTTCGGAGGGTTTTCCACCAGCTAGCCGGAGACGTGAGTCCCGATTTAAACCCGTTTGCTTCACACTGGGACCAGTTTTATTTTTTTAACATTCTTTATTTAACCTCCTGAGACCCTGTGTCCTCATAAGTGGACGTTGCATTTTTGTCTCTCTTTACCATGATACTTCTTTTTTTCTTTCAGCTTTGACCTCTTGACCTCATAGCGGATGCTATCAGACACTGTTTGAAATCTAAAGTAAAATGGTTTTATACATTTCCATCCAATCATGTTCTTATGGTGTAATAGAAAAACTGTAAATGAGTCAATGGGACTGTCAGAACAAAATTGTAAAAACATTTAATTGAATATGTATCTCATATATCTTTAAAAAAAAAAGCTAAAATGCATGCCAAATAAAAGCTCGGGTCTCAGGAGGTTAAGAATATTATGAATCCAACACACATACATATGAATATTTATGCATGCACTTACATAAAGAAAAACAAAAACCAGACAAAAAATAAAAAATAAAAAATAAAAAAGGGGGGGGTTTCAGCAAACATTTAAGTCCATTTTGGCAATTGACATTTCTTTGAGAGGTTCTCATGGGCTCACATGAAAGAGAAATGTACATATCCAGTGTCTCTCATTAAAAGAGAGAGACATATCAAGGGGACTAGCACCTTTTTTTATAACACTTAGCATCTTTATCAGAGTGGCCATCCAAAGTGAGAAATAGCTGGGGTCCAAACACTCAGAAAAATGTCCATTTTTAAGTGAGGTTTTGCTGTTATCTTTTCCATTGTGTACACATTCTTCAATCTTTCTTGCCATTGTCTAAGAGTGGGAGGCAAAAGCTTGAGCCAAGACAAAGTTATCATTTTTCTTGCTGCTAGTAGCAGAATCTGTAGTAACTGGACTTCCTTTTTCCCCAATACCTTCTCCTGGGGTCAAACCCACACTGGGACCAGTTTGACTCCAGTTCCACCATCTAAACTGTTTAGGCTCCAAACAAAGCCACAGATTTTACACCACCGGTTGTTTACATGACTGTGGTTAGCATTCCCCAAATACCAGGCAGACCCAGTACGACTGCTATTTGTAAGGCCTTTGAACATAGTTCAAACCGTAAGCGATCAAAAAGCGTCTTAAAGGGACATCGTGTAGTATTTTAATTATTTTATAAGCTAAAAATGTGTCTTCATTTGGTGTAAAATGACTTCTGACATGATCTGATCTGACTCATAAGGAAGAGTTTCCTATCTGTACATATACAGGACGGGTAAACACAGAGGTATCCATGGCGATCCGCCATTTTGAAACACTATAATGGCAGAGAGGGACATAAAGCACCAGTCTGCATGTTTAGCTAATCCACAACACGTTTTCCTTAAGAGTCACAGGACTGAAACCAGCTCTAAAAAAGTAAGTTTATCCAAAAATGAATCAGAGTCAGAATCAGAAATACTTTAATAATCCCAGAGTGAAATGATTTGATCAGATATAGAATAAATCACTACTAATTAGCACAGTTCAGGCCCACGTTCAAGTTTTAGGGGAATATTCAGCCAGTATCTCCTTTGTACTTCATATAGTGAGTTTAAGTTTCAAGTGATTCAGACTGTAACATCCGTTTGGTCGTTGTGTGCCCAGTTGTTAGCTAACGCTAGCAACAACATAGGCTAGCAATGCTAAACTACACACAAAAAAACAAGCTAAAATGGTAACGTAGTTCGCCATCTTGTTGGAGGAGGAATTACATAATTACATTAATGATTTAGTCTGTGATTCAGACTGTAACATTCGTTGTGTGTCCAGTTGTTAGCTAACGCTAGCTATGACACAGGCTAGCAATGCTTAGCTACAAACAAAAAACAAGCTAACATGGCAGCGTGATTCTCCGTCTTGTTGGAGGAAGAATGACATAATTACACTAATGGTTCAGTCTGTAGTTTCTTTGAAATTACTAAAATATTCACCAGAGAAAACTCCAGGATGTGGAAGTCTAATGTAATTAAATCTTGATTTAGCCTGACGGCTAGCGTAGCATTTGGAAACGGGGGCGCTAGCGAGCAGATTTGTTAGGAGGAAAATAAAGTTTTACACAGTTGACCTCTTAAAGTTTGGGGAAAATCTTTCTATGACCAAGATTTAGTGGGCCAGCCACAAAAAAAAAAATCCTGTCTTACCTTTGCTGTCCTGCTTCCAAAACTGACAGGAGAATAATACTCAGATTCCCATTTAGTCAATTTCTCCCTGGAGATCAATAAAGTATATTCAATTCAATTCAATTCAATTAGAAATAAGCAGCAGAGGCACAATTTGAACTCGGCTTAAACTTTAAAGTCAGGCTGGAATTTTCATTTTACAAAACATTGTCAAAAATAGTCACAACATTATTGCTGGATTTGTTCGTTTTCCCCCAAAATGTATAGTAATTACTCTTTTAAAATCAGAATAATGAAGCTGGAGCCACATAGGAGCTGGACTTTTTAGATAGTTTTTAGATAGTTTAGCTTTGACTCACTCAGCAGACATTTGCTGTGGGGCAGGTTTGGCTGGTTTTGTTGTTTCTTTGTGTTGGTTTTCTTTACCTGGCACACCTGTCTGTCGGCTCCATTTACACCTCAGACCCCACCCGGTTTCTGCCCCCCCCTCTGGAGGCTTCCCTTATTCTCACATTACATGTTCAGACAGTTAAACTTCTCTATTCTGAGTCGGCTCATCTGCCTCGTCCTTGTTTTTTCCTTTTTTGTTTTTGTTCTGTTAAACGTAAAGGCAGAAAAACACAAAAGAACAAAAACAGATCTGAAAAAGATCAATATTAGATTATATAATAATGGTAGAGAGGTGAATAAACAGATGTAAGTCCACAGTAAAAATGACATTAGTTTAGCTACCATATTAAATAAATTCACAGAACGATAAACTACTTAAACAAAATTAATTAAAGTAATTAAATAAATATGAAATCTTTCAGAAATAAGTTTTTTATTAATAATAAATATGATTATTTTTATTTTTAACACATATTCATATTAACAGACTTAAATTATTATGATTTTTCTGAAATATTTGTATATTCTTTTTCAGAATAAATAAATATATATTTATTATTCAAATATTTTATTTTAATTGTAAAATATTGATAAAAGAAAATGTATTTTTTTGTCTTAAATATGATGAATTTTCGTAAATAAATATTTGCATATTCTTGTTCTTAATGAATATGAAATATTTTATTATTTCTCATATGTTCATTTGTAAATATCTATTTAAAAAAAGATTTGAATAAGAAATTCAAAAAAACTTTATTATGTCAATTGTGACAAACAGAAACATTTATCTAGGCGTCTCTGGGTTGATATTAACTTGGCAAACATGGTGTGGTGAAGCCCTGAAGCCTCTGAGTGCATAAAGAGGTTAAACTGGGCTCAGAGGCTGTTCTGGGTGTGTTCCTCTGCATTCCTGCCATTATTCTGCCGCCTCCTGACTCATCGCCCCACCAGATCCAGGGGGCGGGGCCACCGGGGGGGGCGGGGCCACCGGGGGGGGGGGCACTTTCTGCCCCGGGCTCAGCCTCAGAGGTGGGAAACATGGGCTAATAAAAGGGAACATTTTAGGGAACTCTGGGATAAAATAAAGGGCTAATTTTAGGGAAACCTGGGCTTAAAAAGGGAACATTTTAGGGAAATCTGGGCTTGAAAAAAGGGCTAATTTGAGGGAAATCTTGGATAAAAAAAGAGACAATTTGAGGGAAATCTGGGATCAAATAAAGGGACATTTCCAGGGAAATCTGGGCTAAAAAGGGGGGCATTTGAACGGAAATCTGGGTTAAAAAATTGGGCTTTTTAGGGAAATCTGGGATAAAAAAATGGGCTAATTTGAGGGAAATCTGAGCCAAAAAAAAGGGAACATTTTAGGGAAATCTGGGATAAAATAAAGGGACATTTCCAGGCAAATATGGGCTTACAAAGGGGACGTTTTAGGACATTTTGGGCTTAAAAAAGGGCTAATTTGAGTGAAATCTGGGCTAAAAGAAAGGACAGTTTTGGGTAAATCTGGGCTAAAAAATGGGCTAATTTGAGGGAAATCTGGGCTAAGAAAAAGGGACATTTTGGGTAAATCTGGGCTAAAAAATGGGACATTGTGAAGGAAATCTGGGCTAAAAAAAAGGCATTTTTAGGGAATCTGGGCTAAAAAAAAGGAGCATTTTTAGGGAAATCTGGGATCAAATAAAGGGGACATTATAGGGGAAATCTGGGCTAAAAGATGGACAGTTTTGGGTAAATCTGGGCTAACAAAAAAGGGGACATTATGTAGGAAATCTGGGCTAAATAAGGGACATTTAGAGGGAAACCTGGACTAAAAGAAAAGGGCCAATTTGAGGGAAATATGAGCTTAAAAAAAAGGAGATTTCCAGGGAAATCTGGGCCCTTTAGTAGCTTTGGGCCTGAGACAAACAAAGCTGGGGAGAAATAAACATTTATCTGCACTTTCAACCTGAAGACGGCGTGTTTTTGAGCTGGTTTCTGCTCGTCCGCCACACCCCTCTGAGTTTAACCCTTTTATGTCGTCTGAGCAAATCCAGCCTTTGACCCGGACAGTTTTGGTTATTTGTCAGGAACTATATAATCCTAGTAATGATAATATTTTTGAAAAAGTCAGAACAATAAAATTTGATTAAAATATACTGTAAATAAAAACACAAATATAAATGTATTTATATATAAATAAATACTAATAAAAATGTAACTTAACAAAGTTATAATTATAAAAAAATGATAAAATATGAATAAAAATACTAATATAAATTAATTTTCATATATAGATATAGGAATTATAACTTTTAAAAGTTATAATAAAAGTTATAATAATAAAAAATAAATCATAGTAAAAAATAAATAAAAAATAATCAAATATGATTAAAAATACAATATATTTATTTATTTTTTCATACGTAAATATAAAAAATGCTAATAAAAAATAGTTACAATAAAAAAAGTTACAATAAAATAATAATATCCTGATATATCTCTGATATTTAATCCCTTTTTTTCCAGAAGCAGAGGTCAGTTTAATAAAAACGACTCCTCTGTTCTGAGTGGAAAAAGTCAGATTTGTTCAGCAGCTGCTGTAAAAACGACGAGTTTCTGGAGCCAGAAACAAAAACTGTGTCCTGAACACCAAAATATCCATAAAACACCAACAAACCTGAGAGGAAAACCAAATTATAAAGGCTGCAGAGGGACAGGAACCCTAAAATAACAGGAACTCTGGGACAGTCCAGCCCAAACTGAGCAGAGGAAACAGAAAGGAAAAGCTAAATCTGGACTTTTTGAGTCACTTTTTGGAGATTTGACTGCATGAAAAGGGCAGATATGTTTTTAGGGGTGAGTAAGAAAATGGCTGGAGATCAAAGGCAGTGGTTTGAGTTGTGATTCACTCTGTTTACGAGGCTTTAGTGGAAACTCTGTCTCAGGAATTCTGCTCTGATTAAATCATCCTTTCTGTTTGGGAAGGGTCCTAAATAAGCCAAATCTCTTATGTAAATCCGCTGGTTAAAGTCCATAATATAAAGATGCTCTGTTTTTATTATTATTACATTATTATACACTACATTTATACGTTTCTAACAGAGACTCCTGGCATGTTCTGTTAATACTTTTTAAAATAAATATTTTCCTATTCAATTTTTATCCTATTAATTTAGTTTTAAAATCAATTATTGTTATATATAAAGTCTGAGGTGTGAGTCAGTTTGAATTCCTCCCATGGGAAGGAATGAAGTCTTTTTTATTTTCTCTCAAAATGTTCAAATTAATAATAATAATGAAGTTTCATTTTGGAAAAAAACAACTCTTCTTGAAACCAGTTCAATAAATCTTTATTTTTTGTTTGGTTTCTCAATAAACTAAATGAAATTCAGTTTTTTTAATTAGTTCTAATATTTTTAGACTATTAATTTGTTGCTTTATGAATTAATCTCAGTCCTTTATATACATATTTATTCATTTAAAAAGTCCAAACCTGGTTTATTTTTTATGTCCAAGGACGATCTGGGATGGTTTCAGATGACGTTTTGGTAAAAAACTGAATATTCAAACAGGATTTCTGTGTTTCTTAACTCTTATCTGAGAGCTGATTTGATTTAATTTTAAGTGAAACTTTCTTTTTTGTGTGTCAGGACATGGAGGTGAGCCCCAAAGAGCTGAAGGACATCCTCAACAAAATCATCTCTAAACGTGAGTCCGCCCACTAGGGTTTGATTTGGTTTTATTTTTAAGCATTATCTGATTATTGAGTGTTTTATTCCAGACGGGAACCTGAAGACGGACGGCTTCAGCATCGAGTCCTGCAGGAGCATGGTGGCCGTCATGGACGTATCCTCCCCCAAACCAAAACAAACCACTCTAAAATTAAACTTTTATTTATTTTGAGGACACAAAAAGAACAGGAACCGGACAGAATCAGGATCCTAACGTCCAGCCGACAGGAACCGGGTCAATGCCTCGTTTTTATGCTTAATCAGAATCAGAATTACTTTATTAATCCGTTTACAGTAGAGAGAAATATAAGATTATATGTCCAAAAGAGCTAAATAAGAGAGAATAAAATAAGTAAACTTACAACCACGTACAGTAAAATAAAATGACACCCCTCCCCTATAAACAGTGTAAAAATAAGATATACAAATAAAACAAGTCTCAGTTTATAGAATAAACACTATTACAAAACTGCTCAGTAGCTAAATTTCTATTATTGCACATACTGAAGTGAATTTTAGAGAATTTTAAGGAAATTTTGAGCCAGAAGCTGATTTCTACTTTATATAGTTAATTTAGGTTTTAAGGAAATGTTCAGCCAGTCGTTTCTCTCTACTTCATATAGTGAATTTTAGGGGAATATTCATCAAATAGCTGCTTTATACTTTGTATAGTGAATTTAAGTTTTGGGGGAATATTTAGCAAATAGCTTAAATAGGTCAATTAAGACAATATTCAAACAATATCTACTTCCTACTTCTTGTAGATGGTTTTTGGGGAATATTCAGCCTGTAGCTTCTTTCTACTTCTTTTAGTGAATTTAAATTGTAGGAAAATACCCAGACACTACCTGGTTTATACTTCTTTTAGAGAATTTTAACGAAATATTGAGCCAGAAGCTGATTTGTACTTTATATAGTGAATTTAGGTTTATGGGGAATACCCAGCCAATAGCTGGTTTCTACTTCTTTTAGAAAATGTATTCAGGCATTAGCTTCTCTATACTTCATATAGTGAATTTTAGTTTTAGGGGAATATTGAGCCAGTAGCTTCTTTCTACTTCTTATAGTGGTGAGTTTCATGTTTTTTGGGGCTTTGATCTTTAACCTGGCGTCCTGCAGAGCGACAGCACAGGAAAACTTGGCTTTCATGAGTTCAAATATCTCTGGAACAACATCAAGAAATGGCAGGTCAGTTGGTTTACTTCGTTGTTTTTATGCGAGGAGCCGCTTAATAAAGCAGAATTTATAGCAGAACCTCTACCGAGTTTAACTACTAACTACTTCCTATGTTAAAATATTGGTGTGTTGGTTCAAATCTTCCATCAGAATACACTGTAATCATAGAATTGGTTCCAAAAACCTACGATAACTCCTTAATAAATAGAGCAGATAATTACACATAGCAAGAAAACAAATGACTTCTAGAAGAGAGATGGAAAAAGAAATAAATGATAAAGAAATAATCAGTAAAAAGGGTTTTTATTGTCCCTTTAGCTCAGAGACTGAAGAACGGAGGTAGAGGTGGAGACTGAGATACAGGACTAA